TTTTAGTATTGTAAGGCATTTTTGTCCTTTTGTCCATCCTGTTTCATGTATAGTTTGCTGGAATCATACTAATGCATAAACTAAGGGAAAGAGGGGGAACATATCTATATGTTGTAGTAGTGTTAGAGGAGGACTTCAAGGTGGAAGTGTCCTTTAAATGAGCAGGGTATTGGGATGGACCACAAGGCACACTCTGGGGTGGGCGGGAAACTAGTGAGATGTAAATATTGTTATTTATGCATATATGTTCTTGTTCACTCGGAAAAAAATAAACGTCTCCTTAAACTCGGTGTCGAGTGTGCGTTGTTCTGTAAAAATCACATTTGTGCAGAAAAAGTGATGCTACTCTTCAGTCTAGATGTTTCCGTTGGCTGGCGAGGCGAGCTCCTCTATCTTGGTGTTAAGTTTCTGATTGGTCCAGTCTTTTGTGATGTCGTCCAGGTGGCTGTCAAAATCCACCAATAGCGTGTGATCACCTGACTCCATCATCTGGCTCGCTATGGCCCGAGTCTCCTCCCACTGTCTCAGCATTATCCTGAACAGGACAGAGGAAAAAAGGAACAGGTGAGTGTAGTTTTCAGACAGAATTCAGGCGCAAAAATAAAAAACAGACGTGCTGCTCAGCTTTCACAGCGTGTCCCACATAAACGTGCAGTTTGCTGGGATATGGTCATTCATGCTCTTACGTGTGTTTGTCTTTGAGTATCCATCTTGAGTCTTTGCGCTCGTACAACACGATGGGAGGAACCCGATAGTCTGGAGACATCTTACTGCCATCGAGCTGTAAGGAAAAAAAAAAATCATCCTGAACTACTTTATTAAACAGACAGCACAGCTAAGCTTAACTTATTTCTGAAAGCCTGCTTACCAGCAATAGAAATATGTCCAGGTTAAACCAGCAGGTAAGAGACAGCCGATAAAACAATTTTACTTCTGTTTTTCTTACCATTAATAAAACTGGATTGTCAAACTGCTCTGCAATCTTATCGGCGACCTTCAGCGCACACGGTGTCGGGCTGCCGAGCAGAAAACATAAAAACATGTTAAACAGAAATTCCTGAGACCACACGCCTCCGCCAAAGCCGCAAAGTTACAGAAGGATGGCATATTTTTCTTGAGAATATCATTTTGATATGTGTGAAGATCCAGTTTATTCATTCCAAAGCTAACTTTACTGCTTGAAAACTGACAAAAGGTAACCCTTTAATCTCTTTTCTGAACAGAGAGGTTTCAGATTTTTTTAAATTTTAACTAAAATGTCTTTTTACATCTTGTTTTAGTTTTTATTTAATAACCTTTTCATGCTGGTTTTCCCATCTAGACAGATGTGCTGAGCTGTAAAGTGTTACTGCATGAGGTACGAAAGGCTAAATGTGCAGCTTTGCCGCATCTCAAAACAAAAAACAGGGTTCAAATGAAAACCTCTTTAGTGACACGAAGCTCTGGAAACCCACTTGTTATCAGACACGCAGGCGTTGGCTTGGTAATATCCCACTATCCTCTGCTGAGTCTGTGAACACCAAACATCCACCTGGAAGGAGGAGAGCACCCACCGCCACTTTTAAACTTCATTTAATGCTGATGCAAGTTATAAATTCTTAATAACTTGGTAGCTTGGTCCAGAATATCTGACTGCAGGGTTTTATGCCTTCACAATAAACAATCACGAGGAGTCTTTAAGGTCTTCTCCGGGATCAGAGCTCCAGACTGTGGTGCTATTAAACAAAATTGTGAGGGCAGAAAAACACCTGTGAGCACCTGTGTAAGGGCCAGCTGGGTGATAGGAGCCAGGGGCAGGTGGGAGTGGAGCAGCGGGACACAGTCAGTCACGCAAACAGCGCCACCTGTCGGGCTGGACGACAACAGCAGGCCATTGATGCTACAGCGCGGAAAGAGGCAGGTGTGCAGGTACATCTTCACGTAAGCGCGACAGGACAGCTCCACCTCACCCATGGTGTCCGCTGCGGGGAGATAAGAGCACAGAAGCACTGAAAACTTGCCTCAGAGGACCGAGGCTAGCGGGAGAAGCACTGATGAGACACATAACAAAGGGCTGCCGTTAATAATGTCGCTGAATTTATCGAAGATCAGAAGGAAAAACGTCCGCAAGTGGCTTGTTGCTCAATGAGCTGCCAACCGGCCACACTGTGAATGAGCATTAGCATCCAAGCTAACCAAGCAGAGAATTTAATTCCGCCTTACCTGAATGGGAATATCAGTAAACACCAAAATCTACAGCTTCAAACTGGAAATATCAAATTAAGCTTTGCACGCAACTGTTGACACGAGCTTTTAAAAAAAAAAAACAGACCCAATTCACTTGACAGATACATGAAGAGTGTCTGAACGGCAGCTTTTGGTCCCGCCTACACGTCTTAAATGTAATTACCTGATTGGCTAAGAGATAAAGGCTTTGTAATGCGGTTCGAGATAAAAGATGCCAATCATTTCGTCAGGAGTTCAACGTAAACACGACTATGTGTACGCTTTACGGTAGTGCGCCCTCTACTGAAGAGGATGACCGAGGGGATAAAAAAAATAGGTGTGTGTGTGTAAAGAAAAGTAAAGCTATATCAAGTATAAAATATACATGACTTAATTTGTGTGACTGACTTCTTTTGCACTGACAGAACTGCACCTCTATTTAGTCTAATAAAACTACTTTGTTATTGTAGTTTCATTGCTACAATGACAAAGATTCTGGTTCTGAGAAAACAAAACATAAAACAAACCCACTCTGAAAACTCAAATTTGAATTAAATATTTTAAATAAATGTTACATTCATAACCCAGCCTTTCCCTGTCAACGATGGCTTCTTGACAGATGCTCTTCCACTGAGACTATTTGTGATAAGGTTTTATTGAACAGTGGATCAAGTCAAATGCCAGATGCTGGCTAGTAGCTCTTTAGGAATCACCTTCACTTGTCAAACTGTTTTGAACAAAAATATGAACAAGTTGTGTTTTGCAAATTATGCTGGTAAAGTATCTAAAGATGAATGTAAAATGGGTTCTTTGCCAAACTACCAGTGTCCAAAAAAGAAAAAAAGAAAAAAAGAAAACATTGCTCAGTATGTGTGTATATTTGTATATTTTCAAGTAACTTTCAAGTGGCTTCAGATTTTCTTATGATTGTATGGCTAGATAAAATGCAAGACAGAACTAGAGAAGTTCTTAGATACAAATTTCAGCATATCTCCCAGAAGTGCAGAGTGTACAAATGTTTGAGTGAGAATCCATTTTCTTCAGTCTCTTATCCAACTAATAGAGTAAGTAAGTAAAACTTTATTTATATAGCACCTTTCAAGATAAAAATCACAAAGTGCTTCACAGAAGCTAAAACCTAAAAATAAAAATCAACCAAAAGCAAGTTTAAAAAGATGGGTTTTTAGCAGTTTTTTTTTTTTTTTTTTTTTTTAAAGCGACCACTGAGTCCACAGATCTCAGGCTCAAAGGGAGAGAGTTCCACAATCTGGGGGCCACAGTTCCAAAAGCTTTGTCGCCTTTTGCTTTCAGCCTCGTGTGTTGGACAGCAAGCAAGCCCTGGTCACATGACCTCAGGGACCTGCTGGGAATGTATGGATGTAAAAGTTCACTTATATATGTTGGTGCTTGTCCATGCAGAGCCCTGAAAGTCAAGGTCAAAACCTTAAACTGGATTCTGAATTCAACGGGGAGCCAGTGCAGCTGAATCAGCAGGGGTGTGACATGGGAAAACTTGGAGGACTTGGTCAGAAGCTTTGCAGCGGCGTTCTGAACAACTTGTAGACGCTCCAAAGAGGCTTTACATAAACAAGTAAACAAAGAATTACAATAATCCAGACGAGATGAAACAAATGCATGAATGACAATTTCTAATTCGGAGCGCGATACAATGGGACTCAGCTTAGCAATGTTTCTCAAATGATAAAAACAGGAGCGAACCAAAGATTTTACATGGGCATCCAAAGTCAGAGCTGAGTCAATACTAACACCAAGGCTCCTGATAGACTGTTTTGCAAATGTAGCAAGTGGACCCAAGTTTTCCATAACACTAGGTACAAAATTTTTAGGAGCACAAACAAGAACTTCAGTCTTCTCCTCATTTAGTTGAAGAAAGTTTCCAGCCATCCAACATCTAATGGAGTCTATGCACTTGTGCAAAATCTGTAGCTTGGAAACATCATGGGGCTTAAAGGAGATATATAACTGAATATCATCTGCATAGCAGTGATACGAAATGTCCTTAAAAGTGCTCAATAAGTGTTGAAGAGGAAGTAAATACAGTAAGAACAATAAAGGCCCCAAAACTGAACCTTGTGGCACACCATAGGCAAGAAAAGTAGAAGAGGAACTGTACTTCGAGGTAGCCACAGAAAAGGATCGTTCATGCAAATAGGATTCAAACCAGTCCAAAGCAGCCCCTGATATACCCACCAAACCTCTCAGCCTATCTAGCAGAATATGATGGTCCACAGTATCAAAGGCGGAGGTCAGGTCCAACATCAACAGAACGGAGCATTCTCCTGCATCACATCTCATCAAAATGTCGTTGGAGACTCTAAGAAGTGTAGTTTCAGTAGAGTGAGCTCTACGAAAGCCAGATTGGAATTTATCCAGAATGCTGTATTCATCTAGAACAGCTATAAGCTGCTTAGCCACAACCTTTTCTAAAATCTTAGAAATGAACGGTAATTTTGAAATCGGTCTGTAGCTACTGAGAAGAGAAGCATCAAGCTTAGGTTTTTTTAACAGTGGGTGAATAACAGCATTCTTACAATAAACAGGGACCTGACCTGTTTATTGTAAGAAACCCTAACTTTATCAGTAAAGAGGTATCGGTACAAGATGTAACTTATGTTTGTCCTTTCTAAAGTACTTAACTCAATAGGAATTCAAGTTATGTTTAAACAGCCTGTGTGTCAATACATTTAGGTAGAAACCTCACAGCAAGTTCACTGCAGTGCAGCTAGCATGTGTGTTATTTCTAAAAACAGATTAAGTGGCAGGAAGGCAGAAAGTACTTTTTATATTAATTTAATGTGACAAGTTCAGATGACAGTGGTTCAAATGCAAAAAACTAAGCATCTTCGGTGTTGCAGTGAGAATACAGGGATTAAAAATAATCTGCAAATTTTAATCACACACCCATCTTTGTCCAGTGCTCTTTCAGATTTGGTTAGTATTTAGGCTGTACCTGGAAAGCAGACACCAGCAGCTTTGCAGCTTGAGCAAAAACTGGGAGATTGCAGTAGCTTCTTGGGCGCGTGCTGCCTCCCTATAGTTACATTTTAAATGTTTGGCTGCTTTATGGGGAAATTGGGCACCTGGTCCTACTTACCCCACCAAGCTTATACTAAACAGGTGCACTAATTTAAGACCTTTATACATTTAAATAAGTTCTACAAACCAGTAACCACAATCATAAAATAGAGAAAATCTTAAAGAGACTGGATGTGGGTACCATGAATCCCCATGTGTCACAACAGTTATGATGCAACATTCATTTCCTCAAAGAATGCAGAGACTTGTTTGGTATCAGCTTTTCACCATTTACCAAAGAATTTCTACAAGTCTGGGAAAAGCACTGGTGTGTTGGTTGATGTGGATTATTTTTTGCACAGGCTTAACAAAAAAACAAACAAAAAACAAAAAACAAAACGCATGAGCTAAATCAGACCTCAAGACTCCTGTTTAAAACATTCAAAGGTGCTCAGAAACTTGGCATCAAACGGATCAGCACATACAAAACATTTAGTAGTCAAGAGTATAAAGCACAAACTAAATGTTCATTTGAAAGGTCAGTCCAGTAGTCCAGCAGGTTCCACACTGCAGTTCCTAAAATAAAAGGCATAGATTTAATGTAGTGTTTGAAACTTGCCCTGCTCCCCTCAACAAGGATGATGTGCCTGAAAGAAACCCACAATAAATTCATTGATTTTGCGCATTTTGTTTTCTGATGTGCCAGTGTGGGTGGCTTACCGACATGAAGCTATGAAATGTTGGTATCTGATCTGCAGGGGGTGCTGAAGCTTCTTGGCCTGGTACAGTGGCACCTTGGGACTGTAGCTTGGCAATCGGGATTGGTAGTGTGACATGAAAGGCTGGTAGCGTGGCTGCTTGGCCTGGAGCTGGTAGAGTGGCCGTTTGGGCCATTGGGCTTCCAGAAGCTGCTTGAATTGGTAATATGTCTGCTGAGGCATGGGCTGAGGCTGAGGGTACAGGGGCAGAACGGCAGCCTGCTGGGGCACCTGCAGATGGAGGTACAGGGGTGGGAAGACTGCCTGCTGGTGCACCTGTGAATGGGGGTGCAGGGATGGAAAGACAGCTTGCTGGGGAACCTGTGGATGGGGGTGCTGGGACAGAAAGGCAGTCTGCTGGGAAACCTGTGGATGGTGGTGCTGGGACAGAAAGGCAGTCTTCTGGGGAACCTGTGGATGGGGGTGCTGGGGCAGAAAGGCAGGGCCCTGTGGTGGCTGAAGATGCAGGGGTGGGAAAGCCTTCTGCTGTGTTGCCAGAGGCAGAGAGTGTGAATGCAAACCAGTCTGCTGGAGAACCTGATGTGGATGATGTGGACGTAAACCAGTCTGCTGCTTCAACTTAGGGAGACTTGGTGGATGGTGTGGATGCAAATGAGACTGCTGGGTCACCTGAGAGAGACTGGGTGGATGCAAACCAGTGTGCATTGTCACCTGAGATAGACTGGGTGGATGCAAACCAGTGTGCATTGTCACCTGAGATAGACTGGGTGGATGCAAACCAGTGTGCATTGTCACCTGAGATGGAGTGGGTAGATGGTGTGGATGTAAACCAGTCTGCTGGCTCTGCTGAGGCACACTGGGTGGATGCAAAACAGCCTGCTGGCTCACCTGAGGCACACTGGGTGGATGCAAAACAGCCTGCTGGCTCTCCTTAGGCACACTGGGTGGATGCAAAACTGCCTGCTGGCTCACCTGAGGCACACTGGGTGGATGCAAAACTGTCTGCTTGCTCTCCTTAGGCAAACTGGGTGGATGCAAAACAGCCTGCTGGCTCACCTGAGGCACACTGGGTGGATGCAAAACAGCCTGCTGGCTCACCTGAGGCACACTGGGTGGATGCAAAACTGTCTGCTTGCTCACCTGAGGCACACTGGGTGGATGCAAAACTGTCTGCTTGCTCTCCTTAGGCACACTGGGTGGATGCAAAACAGCCTGCTGGCTCACCTGAGGCACACTAGGTGGATGCAAAACAGCCTGCTGGCTCACCTGAGGCACACTGGGTGGATGCAAAACAGCCTGCTTGCTCTCCTTAGGCACACTGGGTGGATGCAAAACTGTCTGCTGGCTCTCCTGAGGCACACTGGGTGGATGCAAAGCTGTCTGCTGGCTCTCCTGAGGCACACTGGGTGGATGCAAAACAGCCTGCTGGCTTACCTGAGGCACACTGGGTGGATGCAAAACGGTCTGCTTGCTCTCCTGAGGCACACTGGGTGGATGCAAAACTGTCTGCTTGCTCTCCTTAGGCAAACTGGGTGGATGCAAAACTGTCTGCTGGCTCTCCTGAGGCACACTGGGTGGATGCAAAACAGTCTGCTTGCTCTCCTGAGGCACACTGGGTGGATGCAAAACTGTCTGCTTGCTCTCCTTAGGCAAACTGGGTGGATGCAAAACTGTCTGCTTGCTCTCCTTAGGCACACTGGGTGGATGCAAAACGGTCTGCTTGCTCTCCTGAGGCAAACTGGGTGGATGCAAAACTGTCTGCTTGCTCTCCTTAGGCAAACTAGGTGGATGCAAAACAGTCTGCTTGCTTTCCCGAGGCACACTGGGTGGATGCAAAACGGTCTGCTTGCTCTCCTGAGGCACACTGGGTGGATGCAAAACGGTCTGCTTGCTTTCCTGAGGCACACTGGGTGGATGCAAAACTGTCTGCTTGCTCTCCTTAGGCACACTGGGTGGATGCAAAACAGTCTGCTTGCTTTCCCGAGGCACACTGGGTGGATGCAAAACTGTCTGCTTGCTCTCCTTAGGCACACTGGGTGGATGCACCTGAGGCTGATGCAGTGCTGGCTTACCAACATGCTCTGACAACTCTGGCTTTTGGGGCTGCTTTACCTGGCAGCTCAGGGTTGGGCAAGGCCGGCAGGCAGACTGCTCCTTGTGCGGGCAGGGCCGGCAGCTAGGCCCCTGGGGTGGACAGGGTCGGCATGAAGGCTGCTTATTGGGTAGGCAGGAAGTTTTTAGTTGTTGTTGGGGCACCTGTGACTGCTTGGGTTTGCGCTGACGTGGTTGAGATGCCCGTAGATTTGGTAGGGGCCGAACATCAGGCTTTGGTTCTTTGGACACAGAGCCATTCTGTTTTAGGGTTTCAGATTCAGGGTGATACTGGTTAGTGGAGGACATAGTTGTGTTGTGGCTTTTTGCATTCAAGGGTGAGGTATGATTTCCAAATGTCTCACTACCATGAAAAGTGTCATTCCCAGAGTTAAGACTACTTAAATCCAATCGATCATCTGCAACAGGCACCTTCTGATCTGCATGATTTTCAAAAGGGACAGTGTTATAGGCTTTTAAGCAAAAATTTAAGTCTACAAAATGCAATGGTGTGTTTGCTTACCATTTGCTTGAGGTCCTCCCACAACTAACAAAAACAGCATCCACCATCTAGACAAAATACCAAAATGACTCTAAGCTTTAATAACACAACTTAAGAGATGGTTTGATACAGATATTAGTAAAAACTAGTGATGGGTCCAGAAACACTCACGCACCGACGCATGTATCAAGCTCCACTAGCGATGCCTTGCCGTGCGTCGCTTTAAGAAAAAGTCACGTGATCGATACAGCTGCTGTATCGCTCATTGCCAACGCGCCAAACTGTGTTTAAAAGGTACCGCATCCGCATCCGCCAACGGAATGAGTCCCCACCAAAAAAACAAAACAAAACACAAAATTACTCTCGCAAAGATTAAAATAATAATAATAATAATAATAATACACATCTCTCCATAACACAATGGAGCCCGAAAGAAAAAGAAATGTTTCTGCTGTGTGGAATCATTTTGATCTTTTAACTGCAAATAAGGTAATAGTTTGTCTGTCTTTGTTTCAGTGTAATCTATCAGAATAGAGAAAAAAAAAAAACAGCCATGTGACTTGAAGTGTAAATTATTCATTTCATTTTATGCAGGTTAAATGTCGCATCTGTTCTGCGGAGGATAAACCTATTTTTCTGAATAGAAATTTATAATAAACTGAGTCAAATGGGTAATATTACATTCACAATACTTTCATTCTAATTTTCACTTAATGTCATTCATAATATCAGAATCAGAATCAGAATACTTTATTGATCCCTGGGGGAAATTATTTATATATTAATATATTTTAAAGATGTCTACAATATTTGCAATATAGAAGATATAAAATGATTCCATGGAAAGTACAATACCTTACAGTGTATACAGTGCATATAAGTATGACTAGGTCATTGAATCAGTGTCTGTTGTGAGTCTCAAGTAAGTTGCCTGCAATGATATTTAAGGTCCAGCAGGTGTCAGTATGGAGCAAAACAGTCGACACAGTGTCGATACAGTTTGGGGAATGTGCTGAAACGCTTCACGAGGCCTCATCTACCCATCACTAGTAAAAACAGTTTTAAAAGCTTACCTTAATAAAAAACTCATGGTCTCAGCTGCAGGAAGCAGCAAACTCTGCCACTTCTCTCAGCTGCTACCAAATCAAGAAGCTGAAAAACACAGCAAGGCCAGTGCAGCCCTTTTAAAAAATTTTCCTCTCTGTCATGGGTGGTTAATTGGACTCAGGTGTGATTGTTTGTATGCAGGTGTAGCTAATTAGGAAACACTGTGGCCAACAGTAATGTTTTAATCTTCTTCATTATTCAACATTTGCACATAAATAAGTGACATATTATTCAGTATTTTAAAAGTTTTCGGCAAAATTATCCACGCCCACTGCTGCACTATGAAGTCTGGGATATTTTGGGCCACGAAGTCTACGCCGTCACATCCTTAAAATTCAGGGAAATCAAGGACGCATTTGTGGCTGCATTTCGAGCAGCCTTTGAATTGGGACAGCCTCGCTGTCGCTGTGACGTAATCGGCCTTAAAATGCGGCCTTTAAGGCTGCAGACCCTGAATTAGGATACAGCCATATTCTACTGTTTTACATGGTGCTGTATGCAATACATTTTTTGTTTTTTTTGTAAAGCATAATAGGTCAGGCTGGGCCAGTTCCTATGTATTTAACAGTTCTATCACTGATACTTTATTCTGTTTATTTATAGTCAATTACTAGTTTTTGGTCACTATTATTCTGGTATTTATTGTTATAAACTGTGTTTTAACTAGTTCTTGTTGTTTGGGGGCCCTTAAAAATGAATTATTTCTTGACCTATCTGAATCAGCTGTCTTAGGAACAGTTCTGTTTACGTTATATGTGCTTGCTTTAGGCAGTATTATTAGGATGCATAGTATACATTTTCACTGCTCTGCAGATGACACCCAATTTTATCTAGAAGCCAGATAACGCAAACCATTTAGATAAGCTGTAGGTATGTCTTAAAGACAAAGACGTCAATCACGTCTAACTTTCTGCTTCTTAATTCAGATAAAACTGAGGTTATTGTATTCTGTCCTGAAAATCTTAGAAATATGGTATCTAACCAGATTCTTACTCTGGATGGCATTACCTTGGCCTCCAGTAACACTGTGAGGAACCTTGGAGTGAAGTTTGACCAGGACATGTCCTTCAATGCACATATTAAACCATTATGACTGCTTTCTTCCATTTGCACAACATCTCTAAAGTTAAAACTGTCCCATCTCAGAGTGACACTGAAAAAGTAGTTCGTGCATTTATTACTTCTGGGGTGGACTACTGAAATTTATTATTATCAGGATGTAAGAAAAAACAAAAACCTCCCTTAAAAGCCTTCAGTTTATCCAAAACCCACAGCAAGAGCACTGATACGGTCTAGAAAGATCAAATTTCTCTTCCTTGCCTCGCTGTTAATCGAATTTAAAATCCTGCTCCTCTCATACAAGGTCTTGAATAATCAGCCCCCCCATCTTATCTTAAAGACCTTATAGTACTGCATCACCCCAATAGAGCACGTGTGTGATTCCCACTATCAGTGAGCTTCTATCCTCAGGCCAAGTCCTACGACCTTATGTCCCATTCCAGAACTTTCACTGTCATATTTGATTTGTTATATCAAACGCTGCTACACCGTTTGTTTATATTACCCTGCTCGCTGTTGTACATTACACTGGTCACTCTACTTGCATTGCTCTGTCAATAAATTGCCATGCTAATAAGGCAGAAAGCACTTTAACATTCCATTTGCACAATGTACATTTCCAGAGTTTAACCTTACTTATTGTTTAAGTCTCGATCAAAGGAGCAGTTCAGAACATTTCATTGTGTGTTGTACTTGTATGACAATGTGACAAAGACTCTTGTGGTTCCTGGAGTATTCAAAAGTAGGACAGGAGGCAAAGTCTTCAGCTGTCAGGCGCATCTTCTGTGGAACCACCTTCAAATTTGGATTTAGGAGACAGACACCATCTCTACTTTCAAAAATAGGCTTAAAACGTCTATTAAAGCATATAGTTGGGGCTGGATCAGGTGAACCAAAAACCTCCCTCTGTTACGCTGTAATAGTTTCTGGGCGATTCCCATGATGCACCAAGTATTTTTAGTCACCTTTCACACTGCGTTTATAAACCACTCCGTATTTAATCCTTAGTAATTATCTTTGGGGAGAGCTCTTCCACAGCATCTCTTATCTGCAGTGTAAAATTTCAATCTGCTTTGTATACAAGTTTCTACAAATTGTAACTCTTAACAGAAGGAAAGCATTGTGTTGGCATCATACACACATCTTGTCAAACTTTATTACCAAATCATTCAGTAAATGCTTAGAGAGTCAAGATGAAAGTTATTTTAATTGGGAAGGTCCGTACAACGATTCAGAAGGCTCAACATTGCTGTGCCTAAGAGAAAACATTCATGAATAAAGGCCATTGAAAACCAGTTATCTCATTAATCGTTTTCCATGACCATTGGTCCCTTTGTGTGGCTATTACATTAGCACCACGTTCTGTGCCTGAAAGAAATAAATCCCACTTAAAATTCACTCCTGTTACTCAGCCAGTAAGAAGAGCTCACCCAGATGAAGGTTGAGCAGAAATTGGACTGTTTAAAAAGTTTAACTTTCTAGAAGTAACTCACCTGGTGGGGATACTGGAGTTGCTTGCCTGGATAGACCAATAACTTTCCCCCTGTAGATGGGCAAGACAGTCATGTAGTGTGGACGCTTGGACTGGTAGTAAGGCTGGTAGTGTGGCAATTTTGCATGGTACTGAGGCATCTGGAGTGAGTATAGTGGCCACTTGGCCTGATAGTGAGGTCTCTGAAGCTGGTAAAGTGGACGGTCAGGCCACTGGGGCAGGAAACCAGGCAGCCTGAGTGGAGAACCAGGCCGGTGGGACACCCGAGGCTCCTTGGATTGGCAGAAGTGCTTGGGCGGGCAGGAAGGCTTCCACTTTGGCTGGGTTGCCCAAGATAGGGAGTCAACCTGCTGTCTGGGAAGCTGTGGTGCACTGGTGAACTGCTGGGCCTTCTGGGGAAAGCACAAAGCCTTTGAGCTGTGCCAGCATACACGCTGAATGGGTGCCTGAGGTTTATGCTGCTGCCGGGGGACCCGTGACTGCAAACCAGACTTCACTACCTGTGACATTTGATGATGTGCATAAAACTAGTGATCAGGCAGAGACTTGCACGGTTAGATTCACTGTTGTGCCAGGATCACTTGCCTTTGCATTCAGGGTTAAAGTATGAGCAGCATTTGACTCGCTGCGCCATGAAGCATTCACTCTGGGGTAACGACTACCTGAATCTGGTTGGTATCCAGCAAAAAGCAGTTTGTTAACATTTAAGAATATTTAATCTATGCAATTAAACAGTGATGCAATTTAACTTGCTTACCGTTTGCTTGATGACTTCCAACAGTGAGAAGTAACAACAACAACAGCCAACTAAAGAAAACAAGTGTCTGTAAGCTCTAACTGAAAACTTTTAGCTTCATGGAAACCTATTTAGTACTTGCCTTAATGAAAACCTCATTGCTTCAGCAGCAAGAACCCACAAACCCAGCAGCTACTGCTGTCAGCTGCTACCAAACCAGGAGACCAGCAAAAGAACCTGAGCTCTCGAAAATCTTTAAAAGGTTTTCCCTTTATCTTGTTGATTAGGTGACCACAGGTGTTTCTACTTCAGAGCAGATTAAGCTCACTATGACACCAGGAAAGGACCTTGAGGTATTTTGCAACTCTTTGCAAATCATTTTCAGCAGCTTCCATTGTGCAGATGCTGTTCAGATGACTTAAATGTGAAAAACCTGCAGCTGAATTTGTTGGAGCTGCTGATTGGTTTAGATGTTTGTTCTTAAAGAAGCCTAAATATTTTCACTGGATTTCCAAATAGTATGATTTTAAATTATGAAGGTTAATTCTGCTAAAATAATACATGTGCAGCTGACAGAAGTATTCCGCCATTGGCTTTATGTCTATATCAACATGATTTCTATCAATAAAATCATTGCAAAGTTTGGAAATTCCTTTGCTACAAACATTAAAAAGTAGGTTTGGCTTAACAAACATAAACAACACATTAAATAAGTGTACTAGTCTAAAAATCTCCTTTATTTCATTTATTGCAAAAGTTTAAGAATATCATATAGCTTAGAAAAGACAGCCTGCTCACTTTACAGGTTACCACAGCTGATCCCGTGGCTCAGGGGGTTGGGAAGCGCATCTGTAACCGGAAGGTTACAGATACGGAGTAGTGCTCCCTCTAGTGGAGGGGATTGTAAAAGCTGCATTATTAGAGTTACAATAAAGTTTACTGAAGCAGAAAGCACCAACGTCTAAGAAAAAAAACCCCTGTGAACTTTGCACACTCCTAGAAAACACATTGAAACACAAAGGTTTGCCAGGTGAACAGTATCTACTTTGATCCAATGTTTTAAAGAAAACAAGTTAGAAGCAGTTCTTAGCCTTCTGAGTGTAATGGAGTAGATGTGCTGTGGAATGGATATGGATACGTTCAATGGAAATGTTGCAAAAACCCTTTTGGGGCACACATTATGCTGGCAGCCTTTGTCAAAGATGGTGTAACAATATAGGGGATAATATAGGGATTTAGTTTAGCTTAACGCTAAACTAGATATTGAGCTTTTCAACAAATAAATAGACACGTATAGCAAAAATAATTATAGCAGTAGCTGTATTTTACTTTGAAAGGTCAGAACAGTGTTTCAATGTTGCAGTGCCTAAAACAGAAATCGTGAGTTCAGGAAAGTAACATCTGAACTCTTGGATGATCTGAGAGGTTTCATTAGATAACCTTCCCCATTGTTTCTCTTAGTGTTGCTGCCTCATGCTTATTAGCTGCTGCGCCGGAAAGAAATTCATGTTAAACACAAAAGTCCCCCGATGTTGCCCTGCCTACTTTTATAACGTCCTAGCGGAGACAGTTTGATTACAAAATTTGAGGGGAGAAAAAAAAAAGAAAAAGATTTGGATCATAATTTTAATGAGTCTGCTTGAAAAACTTATTTCCAACGTGCATATCTGATCTGCTGGGGGTGTCGAAGATGCTTGATTCGAAAGAGCGGAGTCTTGGGTCGGTGTCCTAGCAGCCTTTCCCGGTAACGGGATATCATGGGCCGGTAATGTGAGTACTTGGCCTGGTAGCGAGGGATCAGGAGCTGGTAGGGTGGCCGTTGTGGCCACTGGGCCATTTGCGGCTGCTGGAGCCGGATACTTGGCCGGGGTACCTGCTGCCACTTTAGGGCCGAACCAGGCTGCTGGGGTGCCTGAGCCACCTGTGCCCATTTGAGTTCAGCTCTAGGCTGCTGGTGCACCTCTGCAAATTGTAGCTGTTGGAGAGGGGATTGATGCATTTGGATTAAATCCAGCCGCTGGTGTGATGAACCAGGCTCCTCTGGCACCCACAGCTGCTGAGATGGAGAGTAGAACTCTGGGGATACCTGGGACACCTTAGGCACCCCCAGCCGGTTGAGTGGAGAACGGGGCTGCTGTGGTACCTCCAGCTGCCAAAGTGGAGGACTACGCGGCATTGGCACCTGCAAGAGCACCTGTGATGGGCATGTAGTCTCACTGGGTGGGGAGGTAGGTGGCGGCACCTGGGGCTCCTGTGACTGCCTGGATGAGAAGGTACGCTGCTGTTGGAGCACCTGTACCTGAAAACCAGACTCCACTTCTTTTAGTGGAGGTTCAGTATTACTTAATGAATACTGGAGATCTGGCAAAGACCCATTTTGTGCCAGTGTTTCGGCTTCAGGCTGATAATCCACTGTTACTGTTGTGCTGTAGTTACTCTCATTCAAGGTTGAATTATAGTTATCAAGTATCCCACTGGTCCCCAATGTCTCATTTTTAAAGTAAATGCTTAAATCCAGTTGATCATCCGTATGGGCTAATTCTTGATCTGTGAGAGAACATTGGAATATGTTAGACAAAAATGTTGGTGCATAAAATTATCAAATTTTATTTGCTTACCATTTTCTTGATGACTTTTGACAGCTAGCAAGAACAACAGCAACCATCTAGACAAAAGAGACTATAAGCTTTAATAGTGACATTAAAAATATGTTTGATTTAACTTTTAAAAAAACTTCTTTAAGGCTTGCCTTAATATAAACATCATAGCTTCAGCTACAGGAAGCAGCAAAGACAGACACTTCTGTCAGCTGCTACCAAACTATGGACCTAGAAACTAATGAACAGACAGTAAGGCAGCGAAACTCTTTGCAGAACTTTATTTTCTTACCTTCTGGCTTAATTGGCCAGCTGTGTGACTACTTGAAGCCAGGTGAAGCTAATTAAGAAACCAGCGAAGCACAATGAGGCACTGCAGGCAGATTTAAGCAACACTCTGCCAACCTTCAGTTCAGCTTTCTTCAAATGTTTTATCAGGGTTGTTTGAAATGAAGCAGACCTGCGTAGTGTTCAGATTTCTTAATATTTATATTTAATATATTTTTATATCTAAAATCTGTTTGTTTTTAAAATCAGTATTTTAATAAATTAAAATTTAATTTTAATGCATATTTATTTTTAATTTTTATTTGATATTTTAAATATTTTATTTACCATTGTGAACAAATAAAAACACATCATCAACAACATTTAAATTTCAGTATTTAGATTCATCACTTAATTATTAAAACAAACTTTTAATGTTTACAGTAATATTTTTATATTTGCATTATTTTTAATACAAACATGTTAAATTTAAAATATGCATTTAATATTTACATTTAACTATAAAAAAATTATATTTGTAAAATGCATAGAATACTTTCAAATTGTGATTTAAAATGTATACTTTATATTTAAGAATTCAAATTGTTTATTTATATTAAGTGTATATCACTTTTATTTACACGTCACAATTTTTGTTATTTCTTTTTTAAATTTCCTACATATTTTAAATAAATATTTATAATGTCATATTTGGATTTACCATTTTAATTTATATTCATACTTAATAAATTGACATTTCTATTTAACGTTTAGATTAAAATGTTTGCAAATATAGCTATAAATCTGATCAAAACTTCAAAAAATTTGTCAAAATGTCGCAGTTTTATTTCAGCATTTTATTTCGGTTTACCATCGGAGCTCAAACGGACTACATTTCCCAAATGCAACAATGTTACGAAATTCTTAAGCTACTTCCTTAGGAAACATTTCAAAATAAGATGTATGTTTCCAGCGTAACGTCCTATCTTTGTGAAAAGATCCCTGCTCTCTGCATAGAGCTTTAATTTTGAAGCCGGGGTCATTCCTCCCATTCTCGTCGATCTCTGGCGGAGGCAGCGACCGCTCAGGACCGTGTGGGAGGGTTAATCTCGTTTCAACCGTGGACGCGATGAGGCTCCGTTTGGCCGGAGCCGTGCTGCTGTCAGCGGCCGCCTACTACGTCTACCTGCCGCTACCGAGCGGAGTTAGCGAGCCGTGGAAACTGATGTTGCTGGACGCGCTTTTCCGGAGCTTCATGAAGGCGGTGAGAGCTGACTGATGACTGACAGGAGGGCAGAAAAGGGCAGGTTGATGTGAGGAAAGACAGGGCTGTTAGGATCACAACACCTGAAGCACGAAACCGTGCAGGTGAACGGGTGATATGAGAATCAGGGTTTATTTTATAGCAGATCCGAGGTCGTGCAGAGAGAAGGAAGTTACTGGTTAAAATGAAAGCCTGGTATGGCGAATGAGCCAAAATAAAAATGTCTGTAAAAGCCAAATCTAAACAAGAATAAAAATATGGTTTTAGTCTCAGCCAGTATCTATTCTCACCTTCTAAAATCTCGCCTTTGACGAATGTCTACTATAATCTAATGATTAAAAAGATCTAACTCTACACTGAAATTGATAACGTCAAGACAAAATCACAACAACCACAAGAAACAAAACAAATACAGAAATAGGACGAGAAATAAAAGGTAACTAGAAAATATACAACTAACTTAAGTCTGTTCATAGGTTCAACAGGTTAATTGAGAGGATAAACCCAGAAGTTTTAGGAAGTCTTGGGGTTATTTTAAAGCTTGCTTTCATCACTAAGATGGCCTTTCTGTCTTCTTGTTTATGCATTCATTCATTGTTCTTTCATTACTGGCTCCTACAGAATCCTTGTATATGACACTTAAAATAGATTTGCAGTTTTAAATCTGAACGGGATCCAGAGAGAAAAACTCTTAATGCAAATTTTGCAATTTATGTTCCCAGAAAATCCCACCAGGTGGCTGGACTTGACTGCAGCCATTATTAAAACAAAACATTGATTTTTGTGCTGCATTTTTTTCAAACTATCCTCGTTTTGCCTTTCAGCGCATCCCTTTCACTCATATTTAAATACACTCCTTATGTATTTGTTTAGGCATTACTAATTTTGTTTACTATTTGTTTACTATATTGGCCAGAATGATTATAATGAGCATTAGTGCAATAATGCACAGCAACAACTTCGGTTTTTTTTTGGTTGTTTTTTTGTTCTTTACACAGAACAAGGAGTTTGTTGGTTTAATTTTTGATTAAACGGTGTGAAAATTTTGAAAATTCATATTTGTTGTTGTTGTTATTATTATTATTATTATTATTATTATTATTATTATTATTATTATTATTTAATTATAAGTTGTTTGTAGGGGGGGATTTTTGGAATTTGAGATTCCAACTAACCACAGCATTTTTTCAGGGCTGGTGACTCACTGACACGGAGCAATAACACCTCCTCAGGCTGGTTGTCGTCACCATTTCAACACATTGGCAAAGACTAAATCTGAAGACTTTCACCTCACCTTATCTGGGAAACTTTGTCCTACACTTGAGTAAACCAGAACTTTCACAGGAGAATCAGAACTACTGCATGAAGCTTCTTTCACAAAGGGTTGTTGATAAATCTGCATATTCGATTTGGCAGATTTTAACCTGATCCTGACAGTTTTTCCAGGGAAATTAATTATAAACTATATTATATATATTAGAGTTTTTCCTCCATACAGAAAATATTGGCACTGACCAAACAGGTTTTGGCTTTCCATCAATGGAAAAGTACAAATCAGCCACAGTCCTTCAATCTGTATTCAGGGAATAACATAAAAAGGACCTTTAACTAGGCAGGCCACATGCCACAGAGCTGTAGCTCACCTGCAATGCTTCACATTTAATTAAACACCACACAGTTTACATGCCCACAGCTTGAGTGACGAGTTTCCATGCGTGTTCCCCACATTGAACAGGTTTTCACGCCCTGCTGGTTTCTTACCTTCAGGTCCCGTCACTTTGAGCACAAAGAGACAAATGGTTCTCTTTGTGTTTTGGAGACTGCAACCCCAAACCTGTGGCGTTCCAGTTCAAACTAAATCAGTTCCCTTAGAAAACTGTGAATATTATTACAAAAATGCGTTATTAAATCTCTTTGCAACCGCACAAAAAGTCCAGATTAAAATTTTCTGGATGTGTAATTTGAGGACAATCGCTGTGCCTGATGGTGGGAATGATTATCGGGTTACACTGTAAACTGATTTCAGGGAATAGGCGAATGGTGCCACACAAGCTTAACTAATGATCTGCTCTGCTTCAGAGCAGAGCTCTAGCTAAACCTAAAAAATCTTTTAAGACTGGTGAAAGTGTCAGATGAGGTCGTGTAGGCAAACCCTGTGCTAACTCTCTGCATGCTCAGTCCAAGTGTGACGATCTAAAGCCAAAATCGTGGTTCTGTAACCAGCTTTGAGCATCAGTATTATGGGATTTATCATAGTTTCAACTGCAAACCTGCAATATTTCAATGTTTGTGATGGAGACCAACAGAATCCACAGAAGAGAACTGCAAAAAGTACTTGAAAAAATTTCCTTGAGCACAAAATATAAAAGTTATTTCTTTTTTAAAATTTCCAGAGTGATGTAGCTCATGCGATGGGCGTGTGCCACCGCGTCCACGTGTTGAACCGGGTGGTGTCCTGGGTGGAGGTGATTGAGGCTCGCTCCAGCCCCGCCGTGAACGTCACGGACTCCGCGCTGGGAGGCGTGCCCACCCGGGTGTTTCATCCCATCGGAGGGGAGAAGCTGAAAAGAGGAGTTATTTATTTCCACGGTGGCGGCTGGGCCCTCGGCAGCGGACGTGAGTGCGGTGCATAAGAGGCTTTAGACAACCGTAAAGCTGCTGATGGTTAAACAAATCCAATCAACTTAAGTCTGTTTTTAAGCCTATTTTTCTGCTGGTTTCAGTGTTTAGATCTCACTGTGACAACGTGAGCTTGTTAAACACAGTCTTACAGTGGGGCAAAAAAGTATTTAGTCAGCCACCGATTGTGCAAGTTCCCCCACCTAAAATGATGACACAGGTCAGTAATTTGCATCAGAGGTACACTTCAACTGTGAGAGACAGAATGTGAAAAAAAAATCCATGAATCCACATGGTAGGATTTGTAAAGAATTTATTCGTAAATCAGGGTGGAAAATAAGTATTTGGTCACCTCAAACAAGGAAAACCTCTGGCTCTCACAGACCTGTAACGTCTTCTGTAAGAAGCTTTTCTGTCCCCCACTCGTTACCTGTATGAATGGCACCTGTTTGAACTCATCATCTGTATAAAAGACACCTGTCCACAGCCTCAAACAGTCAGACTCCAAACTCCGCCATGGCCAAGACCAAAGAGCTTTCGAAGGACACCAGGAAAAGTATTGTAGACCTGCACCAGACTGGGAAGAGTGAATCTACAATAGGCAAGCAGCTTGGTGTGAAAAAATCTACTGTGGGAGCAATCATCAGAAAATGGAAGACATACAAGACCACTGATAATCTCCCTCGATCTGGGGCTCCACGCAAGATCTCATCCCGTGGGGTCAAAATGATCATGAGAACGGTGAGCAAAGATCCCAGAACCACACGGGGGGACCTGGTGAATGACCTGCAGAGAGCTGGGACCAAAGTAACAAAGGTCACCATCAGTAACACACTACAACGGCAGGGAATCAAATCCCGCAGTGCCAGACGTGTTCCGCTGCTGAAGCCAGTGCATGTCCAGGCCCGTCTGAAGTTTGCCAGAGAGCACATGGATGATACAGCAGAGGATTGGGAGAATGTCATGTGGTCAGATGAAACCAAAGTAGAACTTTTTGGTATAAACTCAACTCGTCGTGTTTGGAGGACGAAGAATACTGAGTTGCATCCCAAGAACACCATACCTACTGTGAAGCATGGGGGTGGAAACATCATGCTATGGGGCTGTTTTTCTGCCAAGGGGACAGGACGACTGATCCG